AAGAAACACATTTTAAAAACTTGTTTGATTTTATTACAACTATAATTTATTATTACAAAGTAGTCTAACAATTTGGGATTTTTTTGTGAAAATATAGAAAATAAAAAGAAAGGTTGAAAATATGAATTTAAAAAACTTACTAGCTTGTTTGCTGTAATGTAACGTGACAAAGTTGGTGCGTTTCTTGGACAGATTAATAGATATATGAATGTTTAATGTTTGCTTACAAAGCAATAACTATTTATATATTAAAAAAAACAATTTATAAAAACAAATTGGTGAAGTTTGCAGACGAATGTCGACTTTTTGAATTATTTCACTGTCTGCTCGTCTCAGGTTTTGTTCTGTCTGCAGCTTTGCTGAGATTAAGTTTTAGGTGAAAGTATGGCAGTAGGAATCAGAAGGTTTAGGCCTGTAACAGCAACTTTGAGAGCAACTTCAATGAAACAAATAAATGAAAGATAATTAGAGACGGGGGGAGAAACATTTTGTGGATACTTTCCCTCCGGTTTGAATTTAAAGTAAAATCTGATTGCTTGGAGCTGGAAGAGTGCAGCCGTTGACACATGTTTCCAGGCTGCCATGCTGCTTGCGCTAAATAGCCAAAGAGGGCCAAAACATGAGTCTCGCCTACCGTCTCTGACTCTCCCATATCGATGGCTGAGCTGATGGCCGCTGACTCGCTCTTTCCTCTCCGGTCCATTTCTTCCACCACACCGCGAACGTCGCCTCCGGGGAGGCCATGGAAAAGCATCGTAGCCGCCGATGGGAGGATGTTATAACTGTTCTCTTCAGATCTGCAAGCCAAGATGTCCATGAGAGGGGGAACCTTCTGCAATTATGCCACTCAAAATTTTCGATCTTTTAACGTTTCCTTTCTTGCCGTGACAAGCGAGAAATCCAGATCAGGGAGGAAAAAATATGAGGGAAAAACTGGACACGTGTTCTCCACACTACGTCTCATCTGCCAATGGAAACCGTCATCCGAATCTCTCCAGCTCTCGTTATTAATAAGCTATGATTAATTCATTAAAAAGCGCACAGATTTGCCTTCTCTTAGTGGCATCTATTTTATCTCAGGCATGATAATATGTTTCACTGCCAACTGCTCTTTCTAGATTTTCTTTTCCATTTACGGTGACTAAACATACCAACTATAGAAGCTCCCGTTGCATGGATCTCAGCTCTGCTCCTCGCCGGGAGTAATATTTCAGGTTTTCGACAGTCTGCAAAATATTTCCTCTTTTCTTCTGCAGAACAGTTCGTAACTCAGTACAAATGGCAGTGCCAAAATATGAGCAGCAGCTTTCTACTGCATCGCCCAGCCCGAAAAATAATATTTCAAACAGAAAAAAACTAGACCTGGGTATTTGAGAAAGGCTTTTCCTCCTCCTTAACAGTCCAAGTTGAGACTTACGGCAAACTACTTTTGCTTTGCAGAAAGAAAAAATCATAAAAACAAAAACAAGCTTAAAAAACGAAAATAAAATCCTGGGAGAAGAAGCAGTTTTCCTTTACAGTAGTTTGTTTAGAAAATGTTTTGTCTTGTGCCAAGGAGGCTGCATAGATGTGCGTAACAGCAGAAGAGGAGGAGTTGGCTTTACGTTGACTGATGATAGGCGAGTGTTAGCTGGCCCCCAAAACCGCCGTTCCTCCTTCTCAGGTCCGGTTGGACTCTCCGCTCCTTATCAACGGGACCCTGTTGCGTCACGACACACCATTTATGTTCATTGGCTGTTCCGCCGTCACCGAACTGTTTGGCCACTTTTACCGACCGGTCTAAAAACGCAGCAGTTCTCCCTTCGTTACACACGGAACACCGGCCAACCTCACACACACACACAACACACACACCCTCCTCCTTCTGTCTGTCCGGAGCTGCTGCTAGAAAGGTCAGTTTTAAAGGAAAGAGAGCAGGAGAGAGTTTGAGCTGAGATGTTTGAGCTGTCTGTTTCTGGAGGTCTGCTAGGACCTTTGCTCGTCTGACGCACAGAGAGGGTTCCGCACAGCCTCACAGTGCTGCTGCTCCAGCTAACAGCCTCCTCATGACACCAAAGCGCTCTGCTTAATCTGCAGGGGTGGGTAGAGCGCGTGAAGTGCGTGAAACAACCCATAAAGAGGAGCATAGATCTTATATTTGGATATTTTGGTCACAATTATTATAACAGAAAGTATATATATATAAAATAAATATACCCCAAATAAAAAAAACCCAGGGTAAACACTCTTTCTA